TCACACAACTTTTTGATCCTTCAATCACCATGCATCCTGTGCTGTTGAGAACGCTGAGACAATTAAATGCTGACGAGCTTTTGCCAATGGTACAACGAGTGCGTTCTGTATTTGCTCAAACTCTTCACATTGATAATGAGAACCAAATTGACATCAATATGTCTTTCTTCCAGCATCAAGGAGCTAGTTCATTGCGAGCGATGGTAGCAGTGGCACTTATTCAACGTGACCTTTGTCATACATTTACAGTGAATCACCTGTTGGATAATTTAACGATAGAACGGTGTGCAAACATAATTGAACAATTTTTGACAGATGTTTAATCCGAAGTTTTGTTGTTGCCAAATTAGCACACTGATTTTAGTCGACTTACTCATCAATTTCATAATAATCCATTGTTGAAACCCATTAACTTTGAATAATAAAATTCATTAAATCAGTTCAGTTAAGCATTCATCTTGGCTTGTCGGTATTGAATACAGCAAAATACGATCATAATACTGAGCCATGCAGCACGCCAAAATATAATCTTATACGATGTATACAGATTTCATATGTTACTTCATTCTGAACCATTTTAATTTCTTCACTATGCAGATAAAATATAGATTATGATAGTAATGTTGAAATTTTTAAGTCAGTTCGACTGTAACAGTAATAATCTTGTTTTGGAATGCTGTTCAGCGCATAAGGAACAATAGCCTGGCAAAACAGCAATATGTAATAAATAATAAGCAAAACGAAGTATAATACTGCTACGAAGAACTAATGAATTGGTCATGAGCATCACATCAGTTTATTGTCAGATCCGACACATAATATTTGTCATCATCCAGAAATTACTAAAAGGGAACCAGATATGAGCATATAAGTTTCATCACCAACATTCTATCACTCATCGAATCTATAAACACATGAAAAACTAATCGCTTTGAACTCGGTAAGTTGATGGCAAATAGTTTTGCAATTTCTCAAGGTGAAGATGACAAAAACACTGAAATGAATCAAAAAGTAGAAAGGAATAAGAATAACAAAAAAAATCAGAAAGAAATAAATTAACGAAAGAAGGCGAATTGTGAAGAATCTCTCATACAACTACATTATCAAGGTCAACTCACAGGAGAGAATGATTCATATCAGAACAAGGAGAGCGAAAAAGCAGTAGAGATATGCGCATCTGAATGCATTCAGCGTACAGACAGTATAGAGCAAATCAAATGAAGAGCAAGAGAGAGAAAAAGAGAGAGAGTATACTCCGAAGTGCAAAACAGAGCTCATGATCAAGGCGATGACATCTCTCGCTCTCTTTCTTCCGAATAGAATCGAAAGTTTTGTGCATAAATACACGTTCTTGATTTGAGTAGACGAATGAAGACAGCCAGAGTAGAGCATGAAGAGATTGATAAGAGTGGACTGTAGGCCAAAGAAACATATTCACCGACGCAGATGAAGGCGTACATTGAAGCCATATACCAACGGACTCAAAATAATAAAAGAACTGCTATGACTAAAAGGACTGAACAAGAAAAAATATGAAAGTCAGAGTAGATTGAAAAACATCAAAGTAAAACGGGATAGATTTAATTTTTCTTAGACCCTTTCATACCTACGCCGACTACGTACATTCTGCTACGCTACAGTCCTAAAATTTATCTTTATAATAGATCTATTTAAGCGATACTTTTTTTCTGTGTCATACGACGAGATTACTTCGTGAAACAATGTTTTTTACACAATAGTACGAAGCCAAATGATCATGTGACTTGTTTGTGAAGTGACGCGTTTCGTTCCTAATAACTGCTTTTGAAAGATAGCGTTCTAAGATGTTTGTAAAAATATCAGTTTTTTCTTTGGTAGAAGAGCAGTAAAGAATGTGTTTGAATTATGTTTCAGATGATGTTCTAAGTTGAAGAAACTTGTTGAAAATTAAAGAAGGGTCACCCAAACATGCTGCAAATATATAAAAATTTGTTTAAATATGCCGAAATAAAAGCAATTCGTTTGAAAACAACAATAGTGTTATCTCTTCAAAATTTGGTGTTGAAACACTGTTCTATACAAAATATTTTTCATGGATGATGTTCCTTTCTTAGAATACGAAACTTGCTTTGTATTAAGGGAAAATCAAATGATTAGCTATTAGGTACTCAAAGTCATGCTTTATGTAGTGGAATGTATCAAACTTAGTTATTTTCGATTATGTTTTTGTAAAAATATATAATATGAGAGGGTTTTTCTATTGTTATTAGCCAATTTTAATAAAAGCAAGCAGATTACTTCTTGAGTATTACAAACAAATGAAATAACCCCTGAAATTTTCAAGTCTTCATTCTTTCTTTAAATAACTAATAGAACATAATGATCAGTTTATGTATAAAAAAATTTATGAGAACCGATGAAAATTCTTCCTGATAGTTAATATTGATTTCAGTTTAGTTTCAAATATATTATATTGAATATGGTGGAAAATTTTGTATAGTCTAGAACTCAACAGCTGTTAAAGAAACAAACAAATCATTGCTTGTATTATTAAAATCCATAATCATAGTATTACTCTATATAAATGATTTTGAATTGAAGTTTGACTCGAAATGATTCGCAAACACTATTGCAATACGTGATTTTAACTGCAGTAGTGAAGAACTCGATAATTTATTTCGAATTTTCAACTATACAACTCAACTATTCGATAATTCCTCCTACAATGCAGTTATTTGTGTTATAAGTTAAAAAGATTAGGCACATTCGGGACAAAATGAAGCCATCATTGATGAACTAACACACTTAAAACATTACCCATGTGATGAAAACCGGAAGAAAATCGGCGGTTTACCGCGGTTTTACCGGTCCGGTTACCGGCTCCCATTACCGCAATTTACATGGTATACCGCGGTTTACCGCTAAAAATGATCTGGTTTACCGTGGTTTACCGGTAAAAATTATCCAGTTTACCGCGGTTAATCGGTAAAATATCCGGTTAACCGAATAGTGCTAAATATTTAAGGAAAAATTGCTTTAAACCATCTATTTCGCAATTTTAAACGTCTTTTTCGCACATCTTCCTATATGATAAAAATGAGCAAAAAAACCGTCGGTTTACCGCGGTTTTACCGGTCCGGTTACCGGCTCCCATTACCGCAAATTACATGGTATACCGCAGTTTACCGCTAAAAATGATCCGGTATTTGCGATATGGGTAGCTACCCTTGGCATGCTTAGAGAAAGATGTTCGAATTTTACGTTATTCACAGTTTTGAATTTATATATAAATATTAGGATTCTTTACATTAATTGTTTATATAATCAACAGAAGAGTGAATGTTCTGAAGTGTCGGAACGCTTTTCCGTTAAAACTTTGTGTACCTTGTCGATCTTAATGAGCTATGTCTACTATAAAGAGAGTTCGGATCCACAGCTTGTTCCTGAAGAGATTGACCGTTTTTAGTGAATTTTTGCTGTATGATCCTACTTTTGCATAAGAACCATATTTCGGAATTTTGACCTGAAACTTAGCCCACATTAACATCTCAATTAGACTAACCTAGATAAAAAATTTCATAATTTTTTGACTAATTTTGTTCGAGATATGGAACTTTGAAGGTATTGACGTTTTCTTCATATATGGTATATAGAGCAGGTATTTTTTGAAAATTTCATATCTTGGACAGAGTTAGTCAGAAAACTCTGAAATTTTTTTATGTAAGCTGGTGTAATTTGGGTCTTTATGAAAAAGTAGACTTCTACAACGAAAATTCACTAAAAACGTTCGGTCACCTTAGAAATAATCAATGGGTCCAAACTCTTATCATTATAAACACAATTCACTAAGGTCTGCAAGATGCACAATGCCCCAGCTGAAAAGCGCTCCGATACTTGGGAATGTTCCCTCTTCTGTTGATTAAATAAAGAAATTAATGCAAATAATCCTAATGTTCATATATATAGTCAAAACTGTGAATAAAGTAAAACTCGAATATCTTTCTCTAGGCATGTCAAGGGTAGTTAATAGTTTAAATTTGTTACTTTGACAAGGACAGCTTTATTGTGATCCTAATATGTCTAATCTTTTTAATTTACAACACAAACATCTCCATTGTTAGTACTTATTTGAGGACAATTGTAGATAGATATTTATCTCATTGAATTAATGTTTTCTGTGACAAAGTAAGAAAAAGAAATTAGTTTTTTTTGTTTCATGCTTGAATACGATTAATTATGGTATAAAATGTAATAATACTCAGATAATTTTGTCTGGAGCTGTCAAATTAAATTATATTTATCTAACATTTTTCAATTCAACAACGTTTCTCTTTTCACCTTATGAAAGCAAAATGGTTTGTCTATTTCAATAAATATCTGATAGTAATTTGTTATGAATAGAAACAGATGGATTTTTTTCATTGTTATTATACTGTCACAAATGTAGTGATAAAAACAGTAAGTCAACTGGTAATGATATAACCATCTGTTTCTGTTAAGATGGAATGATTTGTATCGAATCATAAAAATTTAAGAAGTTATATTAAAAAAAAAAGTATTAAAAAATCCAAATAATTAGATTTTCTAAAATCTAGAACGTCAAAATCGGAAAATAATCTCAGCTTAAATATGACATTTGGTCAAATAAGGCAAGGACATTATGACAGGAAATAAGGAATGACATTTAACCTTGAATGTCACTCAATATTATATATTAGAAGTAACCATTAAATAGATAAGATGTTTTTTTTTAAATATGTATATTCAATTCATTTATATTAAATGATCATTTGGAGAATTGAAATAAAAACCATTAATAAAAAGAATTTTCTTGAACGAACTTATTTCTAATAACATTGATAACCTATATTGCGTAAGGACAAATTCTTTCTTTTGATAGTTTATTTATTTTATGAATTATTATTATTATTAAGATAAATTCATGAAAAAGTCTTTTGAAAATCTGCGTTAATTATTTTTATCATTAACTTTTAAAAAAAAGTAATAATTGGTTTTGAATATTAAATATAATATGGTGTTTGTGTATATCCATTATAAAGCATTGTATTTTGGCAAACACAAATAGCGAGAAAAACACCAATTAACTAAATATAATACATTAAAATAAGTCAGATATCTTATTTCTTACTGATAGAGCGCATAAACCAAGTTCAATTAGAATAATAAACTTTGTCCAGAAAAATGTTGTTTGTGTTAATGAAGAAAAACATCCTGGTGTACCAGCTAAACCAACTTGATGAACAGTACAAGATGATGAAGATGTCATAGAACAGCAAGATAATGGTATATGTGATTCAGTGTAATCATAAGCTGAATCAATACCACAGCAATGATACTAGAAATAAACGAGGCATTAGTCCGTTATGTCCTAGATAAAATTTCTTATTGACTCTTTTCTTTATAGTTCTATGATGATGAATGCTCAAGGTCTTCACAGAAAGAAGGAAGAAGAAAGCTATTGCATCATAACTTTCATCAATTAATTCGCCTTGTCGATTATGTTATGAAAAGAGCAAAAAGATAAATGAAACTATGCTCTATTATACTATGGTAGACCAGAATGACGGAGTTTATCGATAGTAATTACCCTTTGATTCTATAAGTTTAAAAAACATATAGATATTATAATCTTAACATTGTGAACTTTGAAGTCAAACTACACCAACTGTTTATATAGCGCGTTTAATTATTTCGTGCTCTTTTACATTACCTTGCTTTGAACATAGTCTATTGCTTTTTCATATTGACTTGGATACATATGATTATATTTTTTCACTTGTGATACAAGATGTTGTTTTACAAGTACTTGTCCTTGTTCATGATACATTGCAATAAATATGAATAGAGCTAATTCAGCAAGAAGAACACATGTTACCAAAACAATATACTAGAAAATATTTATTTTATTTTTACAAGGCTTTAGCAGAATATTTGTAACTTACAAGTATAAGACAAGTACGAGATTCTTGTTGTGCACCACAATATCCAAAGAGTCCAATAAGAAATATGATAATACCAAAGAGAATAAGAAGACAAGCTAATAGTTCAATAGACGATAATGGTAAAGTAGTAAAATTAAACAAATGAATAATATTTTGAACTTCAGGACGTAATAGAAAATATATACCAAGAGTAATTAATGCAAAACCACTTAACTAAACAGACGAAATTGAAAAGTGTTTATCATTGATTTTCAATATTTAATACCGATGCGAAAACAGAGGAACGAAAGTAAAACGAATATTTTGCGAACAATAGCATGTAACAATATGCAATTGTCAGCAATCCAAAAAGCAAACATTGGGACGTCTTTTTATTCAATCTTATATAATAGCAAAATCATTTTAAAATCAATCATCTCTAAACAAAAACGTGCAAAAATAATTTATTCCTTGGATGAAATTTTATTTTTGACATGTCTCTCAGATGAATTTCAAATCTATAGTTTAAGACATTTTTTGAATGTTCTTGTTATTAAAATTTCATTGAAATGATTGAACAATTTTTGTTTAATGTTTTATGTTGATGATTGGTTTTAACATGATTTCATTTTTAACATACCCGAAGAAAAAAATTTCTTAATGTTTCTTCTTTTGGCTACTGAAAATCGCATATCACTAGCTATTACCATTCTCGAAATATTCATCACCAACTTATTCTTCTACTATTTCACTACTGACATTAGTCATATTCTACTTTTGTTACTTACCCAAAAAAAAAGATTCAAAGCCAATAATAGATATTTGGCACAAGGATAGCAAGTAGCAATACCCATTGTTGTCTAGTAATTATTTCGTTGTTATCATTGTTGTTCGTAAAAATGAATATGTTGAAAATTCTTTTGACACCAGTGCAAACCGATAATGAATAGAGAACAAACAGCACTTTTGATATAGTTTTATTTTTCTAATAATTGTTTCGTTCGTTCTATTGTATGCCAGTCGGCGTCAACTCAAGTTGAATTCTACTATAGAATAGTATTTGTGGTTATTGATAGTGAATAAATGTTTTCGAGAGAGAGAGAAAGAAAAGTAATTTGAGTAGCAATGCCGATAGGCGAAGAACAAGACAAAGAAAAAAGAACCATAAGAAAAAGAAAGAAAAGAGAAATAAATCAATATTGCTTATTACTATTACTGATCAACAATAGCGCCTTACAATATATCCTTCTTACTTATGAGATAACAGTTGTTGCAATGTAGAGTACATATATGTATATATACAATAACAAAATATGTACATTTTTTCCTCCCGCAAAGAAAAATCGATGAAATCGAGAACAAACTTGCTAATATGTGATTTATGTATTTATATGAAACTCTTTAGAATTAGTAAATGTTGATACAAAAGATAAAAATTTTATTTAAATGATGTTACTTGTTTATGAAAGATTTGATCGATTTTCAAATCTTTGTATTGAAAAAGAAAGAAGAAAATCTGAATTTTAAAACATCTATCTCATATTGCACGTGAACAATGAAATAAAAGAAGCCGACATATACATTTCATGTTCAAACTCTCGAATATCGTTTATCTGTTAGATTTATTGCATTAATCTACTTGAATATTTAATCTATGCATTAGTTTCAAATGATATAATGAAAAAAAAAAAAAGAACAAAATAATTGTTCGTCTCATGTCTTGTATATATTGATTGAACCGATTTTCTTTTCATACATTATTACTCAACATTGTTATCTTAATCTCGACAATAGAGAATTTAAATCCTATACAAAGCCTGATTTTCTAAATTAAGAAATTCATTCTTATATTTCTGTAATATACATTTAGGTCTATGTGCATACAATTACCTTGTATGCCTATTCAATAACATTGTCTACAGTCGAGGTGCTTAAGAAACAAAAAGAAAAAAAGACGATGCATGCGTTTTTAATAATCGAATACTACGGTATATTTATATAGCGATTGCCTTTAAGATTGATGATGTAGCATAAAGTGTTTGTTGTTTTTAGTTATTAAAATACGTATATTCATATACATTGTCAAGGACAATATTATTGTTTAAGCTATTTTTTTTGTCTATGATTTGCAATACGTATATGACAAGATAAAAACAAAGAAAATGCGAGTTTTATATTAATCTAAAAGATTATTGAAGCATTGACAATATTGTAAATTGGCAGAAAAAAACAGTCAAATTTAAAAATTAAATGAGAACACTAAGAAATCAACTTAAAGATATTTTAAAGTTTTGAATGTAGCAAAAAAAAGAACATGTTCTTTAATAAAATAAAATGTATATATATTCTTTGACAACATTTATTCGAAAGAGTAATTCTAGGTTTTGTTGCATAAAAGGCAACCTATATCAAGATTCAAGTGTAATGAATAAACATGTATATTTTTTATCCTATAAATTTTAGGATTCGTGTATGAACAAAAAGAAAAAGAAATATTTATTTGTTATTCTGACATTTTAACAGTAAGAAAGAAATTTTGGACCAACTCATTGCTGAAAGTTGATCTTATTCTTCTTTTATTCTTGTAAATTGATGCAGTATTATTAGAGATTATTAAAGACATAAACGTAAAATATGACACTTAATTGGAGATTATTATCAATTTGAAAAAATTCTATCTAAGTTTTATAAAATGACAGAGTAAGATCTTTATCTTCATTCTTTAAAAACTTCTAATCGTTTGAACTTTCCAACAATACAAATGAAACTGTACATTATAGAAATGATCCATCGATCTTCATAATGTATTTTCAGATAATTAAAATTATTAGTTGTAGCAAAAAAAGCAAATTTAATTTCGTAATATTATTAAGTCAATTTTATTGACTATTTTATGAATATTAGACACAGCTATTTTGAACGACGATATTACATTCTCGTGAATATATTATTGTTTTAACAAATATACATGAGAAGGATTGAGAAGAAATGCAACTTCCCCTAGATTTCTTTGACAACTAAAGTACTTTTAGCGCTCCAAATCAAGTTGATTATAGTAATTAGTATTTCCTATTCACTCTAATAAGCTGCTATTTCTTCTAATTATTTGAGAAACACTAACAATTGACGTCAACAAATTTTAGCATGAAATACTAATGAAGAAGATTTTGCCATTGCTCTATTATTAAGAAATTGGAAACTTATTGGATGCCAAAAAGGTAAAAAAAAAAAGAAGTCAGCGCAAAAATTGTCATCTCGCCTTCTTTTTTTTCTTGTCTTTCTACCGATGATTATCAATATTCTGTCAAGATAAATGTTTGAATATTATCGGTGATAGAGAAAAAAAAAATACACATTTTCTCGAATATTTTTGTAATTTTATTATTCATGTCTTCAATTCGATTATTGAGAAAATGTTTATATGAGCTAAGCTTAGAGGAGGGATTTTCTTCTTTCATATAAACATATAATCCCCCGGCGAGAAAATGAGAGAAAAATAAAAGAAGAAAATGGAAAACGAACGATTTAGATGTGATTAGTTGAGTTTAAGTTATCCAAATATGTATAAAACTTTAAAATATTTTAGCTTTATTCTTGTTTAATAAGTATTAAGGAAATTTCATTTGTAAGGTTTGCTAATTTCGAAGAGAAAATAGCGGATTTCCATTATTTTTTTTTAAATATTATCTATTAATTGAAGAAATAGATAACATTCAGAAGAGTCAGAAAAAGAAGAGATTATTGGATTGATAAAAAATTAACGTCGTGTGAATAAATCTGAAGATTTCTTTTTTCCTCTGAATTCTATCAAATACAGACATATACCGACACATTTCGAGTTTTCTGAGCAAATTTAGCAAATAGTCCATTCTCAATTCGTTACTAATATGACATAAACATTTATGAACTAAATCTATCTAATTAGCCGGTATGGAATACGAGATTATCGCAATTTTTAGAGTACTATGTTTTACTCATAAGATATTATTTATTTTTATTTTAGCAATTGTACTGTTTTCATTGAAACTTATCTGACCCAATAAATCGAATATTATTCATCATGGTTTCGTTATTTAATTTCAGTCTTCTTGGCTTCTTTCTATTTTTTACCATGGTCGTTCAAGCAAAACCTTTGTTTGAATCAGCAAATATTTCAGACGACAATAAATCAACAATAAATTATCAACAACTTTATGATCTTTACAAAATGATGCGCGTAGACCCACGTCTTGCTTCTGTATCCAATTATGATCTTCTCTCATTTATCTATAAAAGTTTCATCTATAATATAAGAAGTAATACTAATTCTATGAAACAAAAATATTCAAACCAAGAACGTAATTGAAAACAAAACAACAAATTAAATTGACTTGATAAATATTTACGCATATTAATTTAAATTATAATTAAAATAAAATAAAGCTTGATCATTTTCGATGAAATATTTTTCTTAAAATAATAAATAAGAAGGAAATGAAAAGCTAACAGAATAAAATTTGTATTAGAAAAAGTACATCATAGATGCCAATACAAATATAATTATAAATATCACGATAAATTTAATATATAAGTGTTTTCATATGAGATAAACATTTGGTTTTATTTCATTTAGAAAGATTATTAAATCAATAATAGTTATTATTCAAATGCCAATTATTTGTTTAGAATAGATGCTACGAAAGAATGACTTTTGTTTTCTGTTTTCCACTAATTCTTTCTCATGATTTTCATTTCTTCTAATCAATATAAACTTGTCTTTCTAATTATTTAAAACGACAAATAAAATCGATTTCTTATTTTCATTCCAGTTTATTCTTCATGCAATTGTTGAATGAATAATGATAATAAAAGAAAATGAACTAATTTGTCTTTACAAGGAGAGTCTTCCAACTGATTTATCGCTTTTCGATCGGAACAATATGCATCATGTATTTTCTAATGAATTATGAACTACTCTGAAAGGAGTTTGTACTTTCAGCTTCTTACTGCTCAAATACTGGATTTTTCAAATCAACGTCATGGTTTCTCACAGACGTATCGAAAAAAAATGTTTTTTTGCATAACGATTTGAAATCTTGCGCCAAGATAGACGTAAAACAGTATAGTTTGTAGTGAAAATTTTAAATCCATTAATTTGTTTCTATCCTAAAATAAAAACATTGACTCTATCAATGTATACAAACGATATAGAAGACCCACTTGTATTATAGCCGTATTTCAAGATAGGAACGACAAAAAACATCTGAAACATTCGAAATCAATCATTCTGTTGAAAGCTCATATGTGTGCAAACTCAAGCTGAAATTCGAAAATCATTTTTTTGTCGATATATATTCGAGAAATCACGACTTTGATTTGAAAAATATAGTATCGCAACAGTAACGTGTCTCAACTCAAAAGTTACTAGATAGTTATGTAACTTTCTTCGTTTGACACCTATAATACCTAAAGAAACTAAGAATTCTGAAAACAAGATACAAGGAATCAATCGAATAATTTATTTATTGCAAATAATTCTAATAAAATTGATAAAAATTCAGTATATAAAAGAAAAAGTCATTCTGCCTCGATATTCATTAGAATTACTAATTGGCGATAAGTTATTACACGAGTTTCACTGCCATTGTTTATTTTATGATTGGATGACTTTGCAATAAAAAAATGTTATTCTTTCATTTATGTTAGATACAGATTGATCCAAAAGTTTTGAACTCGTTCACAACAAATGCAGTGCTTTATCTAGACATTCTATTCCGGATGGGTGTCTTCCCTTGGCTTCGATAATCGATGAAACGTTGACCAAGCGTCATCGTTTCTTTTTTATAAATTTACAAACATTCAAAATTTACCGACA